TGTTTCTTCAGAAGGCCTCTCACAAGCGCCCGTTCGGTGGATTCGGGTTAAGCCTTGAAAGAGAAAGTACTACCGACGACGAGTGCGGCGCAGCTCAACAGCCCGCGTGTAATTACACGACTGTTGCCGACTCCGTTGCTGTTTCCGGCGAAAAGATCGCCATCACCGTCGGCGACTGGAACAAGGACCGGACTGGTGACAACCAAGCGGCATTCAGGAAGGTACCTACCGGCAGCGAAGTCACGGTGGTCCTGAAGCAGTCCGCCGGGATCAAAAACCCAACCAAGTTCGGTGATTACGGGCCCGTAATTGAGGTTAAGGCCACCAACGACCCCACCAACTTGTTAGTAGAACGTGATCTCTCAAAAACCCACACAATTGATCGCATCGTGAAGTTGAGCGAGGAAGACGGCGGCTTGGGTGACGTGGGGTGTAATGGTCACCGGTAGCGGCTTCGAGAAGAATGTAACGGTGCATTTCTTCCTGAACGGGTATGATGGGTACACACCCAACATGAGTCTGGACTCGGGCGAAGACATTCTGTGTTCCGCCCAGAGCAGCGGCGATAGCGTCGCCTCCTGCGAATTCACGGTTGCAACGCCTACTTTCCACAGGGGCTTCAACTACGTAAACGCGGTAGATGGTGACGGCAACACCGGTTCCTTTACTGTTGAGAAGGACCAGAGGTTCGAGTTGAAGCCTTCCATCAGCGCATCCCCGGCCGGCGGCAGCCCCGGCGAGATCATGCAGGTGCAGCTGGTCAGCTTCCCGGTTACCGGTCTTATCAGTCAAATTACCCTGTCTGGTCGCGACATCTGCGGTGGCTCCGCTACTGCGTGCCTATATGGCAACGTCGGTGGTCAGGGAACCGCGAGCATTCCGGTAACCGTACCCAACTGGGCGGTCGGCGGTGTGCAGGAACTGAAGGTCTGGGCCGGTGGTGATAGCGACACCTTCAACGTAACCATAGTCGGCCCCCGGATTATACCCACCCCGCAGACGGTAGTTGCCAACCAGCGCGTCAGCCTGGTAGGTTCCGGGTTCAGTCCGAGTGCAAAGATCGGCGACATTGATATTACGGCAGCAGATCATACGATGCCCGAGATGTCTATCGGCGGTGCCCCAATTGGTTGGAGCAAGGTCAACGACGGCAGGGTCGTGCTGGTTGACGATGGCGGCAACTGGTCGGCCTCCGTGGACCTGCCCTTGGTAGAGGCGACCACTGGTAGTGGTGACCGTCTCATCCGGATAACCGATTCCAAGGGTCGGACCGGCTCTGTTAATGTAACCCTGCAAGAGCGCGGCTTCGACATAACCCCGCCCCAAGGCCGGGTAGGTACATTGGCGGTGGTACGTGGCGTTGGTTACCCCAGCAAGAACGACGAGGGTCACAGCTTCACTATCGATGTCATTTACAAGGTACAGGAAGGCGCGACCGCTCGCGTGTCGGTGGTACCCGATGCCAGCGGTCGGTTCGAAGTACAGCTGCGCATCCCGACCACCGCTTCTATCCCCTCCACCAACCAGGTTGAGGTGAGTTTCGATCACGAGGCAGGCGGTACCGAAGTGTTGGAGAACAAGCAGCACTTCGTACCGGAAGGTATCATTGAGCTGTCCGCCACTAGCGGCGGCCCCGGTACCACGGTGACTCTCAGTGGTGAGGGCTTCAAGACCTACGTGCCGGTGGAGTCGGTGAAGATCGGTACCATCGAAATTACCCCGGCGCCCAAGCCCAACACCGATGCCAACGGGATGATGAGCTTTGACGTACTGATTCCAGGCTTGGATGTTGGCATACAGACCGTTGAGGTCAAGGTTGGGGGGACCACTTCCAGCACTGGCTTCACGGTGACCGAGTCCGGCGTCGCCCCCGGCGACATCAAGGAGGTCGGACCGGCGTTGGAGGACCTGGGCGACAACTTTGTTAACGTCTGGCACTTCAACAACGACTTGAAGACCTGGAGTTTCTACGACGGTATGGAGGGCAGCGACCTGACCCACCTGATCACCGGCGAGACCTACCTGATCCAGATCAAGTCCACCGTCGAGGTCATCCTGAATGGCGACACCAGGAGCCTGACCTGCGTGGGCGGCAACTGCTGGAACCAGATAGTCTGGTAAGACAAGGCCAGGAATAGGCGTCTTGCGGGGGCGGACAATGAATCCGCCCCTGCCCCCAACCCGTATAGATTGGGGATCAACCGTCGTTCCCGCGAAGGCGGGAACCTCGCCCCGAACCGAAAGGCAGTAGGGGGAAGGCGCATCCGGCACTGACCCTTAATGAAATAGGAGGAATCAATGGCAAAAGTCAGTAGAATCCTGGCCCTGCTTGCCATAGTGGCGATGCTCGCTGCGCTGCCGATGACCGCATTGGCCCAGCAAGAGCCTCCCCACGTGGTGATGGGCATGGCCATGGTAAATGGAGCAACCGCGGGCGAGGGCACTGAGATAACGGCCCACGCTGGTGAGATGAAAGTGGGCTCCGCGATGGTGAAGGCGGGCGGTACATTCCGGGTAGACGTAATGAATCCCTCCGGGCAGATGGTTACGTTCATGGTTGGCGGCGTCAAGGCCAGCCAGTCCCTGGACGGCTGGACGTCAGGCACAATACAGCGCGGCTTTGACCTGAGCGGTACCGCCAGTGCGGCGCTGGGCGAGTAGGCGCTACTGGCGCTACTGGCGCTCAGGGTCCCGCCGGTGAACAGGGTCCCGCTGGCCCTGCTGGCCCCTCTGGCGCCCCCGGCGCTCGTGGCGCCCAGGGTGTCGCCGGTCCCGCTGGCGAAGCTGGCGAAGCAGGAGCAGCCGGTGAAGCCGGAGCCCGCGGCCCCGTAGGCCCCCAGGGCGACCCCGGCGCCAATGGCAACGACGGCGCCCCCGGCGCCATGGGCCCTGCCGGTCCCGCTGGTGAAGCTGGCTCCACTGGCCCCGCTGGCTCTGCCGGCGCAGCTGGTAGCGGCACCACCGGCATCATCGCCATCATCATTGCCATCGTGGCAGTGGTGGCAGCGGTAGCCATGCCCTTCGTAATGCCCCGCCGCGCCTAGGCGCTAAACCCGCGTAACAGGCCACCAAAGCCTGCCAAGGCCCCAGCGAAGGCATAACACCAGGGCAACAAAAACCAAGGCAACCCCAAGCCCCCCGGCCAAAAACCGGGGAGCTGTCTCATCTACGGGGCAACCCGTCGTTCCCGCGAATCCCCGTTACCCTGAGCGTAGCACCCATCACCCTGAGCGAAGCCCCTGTCATTCTGAGCGTAGCCGAAGAACCCAAACTCCTCCCCAATAGTCATCACAAGAGACCGGCACCCCCCCAAGTGGGGGAAATGAGCGAAAATGGGCGGAAAACAGAAAAAATCCATCCCCCAACTGTAGGGCTAACCGTTGTGGTCGCCCACCCCACGGGCAAGGACACCCTCCCCCCAAGTGGGCGAAAATGGGCGAAAATGGGCGGAAAACCAAAAAAACCAACCCCTCACCTGTAGGGGCAACCCTTGTGGTCGCCCACCCCCAACAGTCCCTTCCCCCTCGATGGGGGAAGGCCAGGATAGGGGTGACCGTCCCCCCCGGTAATACAACGGTAACGCAAATGCGCCAACATTAGCCCTACCTGAAGGGTAAGGAGGGTTATATGGGACGATTCAGCAGGTTAATGGCCATCCTGGCGGTAGTGGCGATCTTGTCGGCCTTGCCGCTCACGGCCCTGGCGCAGTCTTTCAGCGAGTTCCACCGGTTCATCGGCACCGCCACCCTGGATGGCACGCTGGTGCCCGTCGGCACCGACGTTACCGCCCTCGATGGCACCCGCGCCATCGGCACCGTTAAGAGCACCGCCGGCGGCCAGTTTGCGCTGCAGACCACCCAGGCCTTTGGCACGATTGTATTCCAGATAGACCGCGTAACGGCGGACCAGACCTACCCCTCCTGGAGGGCCGACGCCGTAACCACCGGCTTCCACCTCACCGCCACCACGCCCGAGGACCCGTCCCTCGGCAAGATAGGCGCTCCGGGTCCCCGGGGCCCCCAGGGTGTCCAGGGCCCGCCCGGCCCGCCGGGTGAGCCGGGCCCGTCCGGCCCGCCGGGTGACGTCATGGCCCAGGGCGCGCGCGGCCCCGCCGGCCCCGCCGGAAACGATGGCGGCACCGGCCCCGCCGGCCCGCCAGGCCCCACGGGCGACGCCGGAGTGGAGGGCCCCGCCGGATCCCAGGGCGAGCGCGGTCCCGCCGGCCCCCGCGGCACCGACGGCGTTGACGGCACCGACGGCGTCGATGGCCGCAACGGCACCGACGGCCGCGATGGCGCCAGGGGCGAGGACGGCAGCGGCGCCACGGGCATCATCGCCATCATCATCGCCATCGTCGCGGTGGTAGTAGCGGTAGCCATGCCCTTCGTCCTCCCCCGCCCCGGCATGGAAGGCGGCAACGGCGGCGGCACCACCAACCCCTAAAAACCATCCCCCCTCCAACGGGGGAAGGTCAGGACGGGGGTTACGTGCAAGGTCCCCTTCCCCCTCGACAGGGCAAGGCCAGGCTGTGGGGGTGACGTACAAGGCTCCCTTCCCCCTCGACAGGGCAAGGCTAGAATGGGGGTGACGAGTCCCGCAACGTCACCCCCGCCTAGCGGCCGCCATAGCTGGCCCCCCTTGACAGCCGTCGGCCTGCCGAATTAAGATAAACACCCCTGCCGAGGTAGCTCAGGTGGTAGAGCACGGCACTGAAAATGCCGGTGTCGACAGTTCGAGTCTGTCCCTCGGCACCACCTATTATCCATAGCCTGATCCAAATACGTTTGCACAGACAAAGTCGCCCCAAAAGGGCGGCTTTTTTCTGTTTCCGGGACAAGCCCTCAACAACAGGCCAGAGGGTGCCGCCAGAACAGCCAGGCCCACATCACCAGACCTCGGACTTGGCAAATGTCCGGCTAGAACGCCGGACAGAACGCCGGATAGCACGTGTCGGTCCTGGCATACCAAGGTTACCTTGCGCCGCTGCTTGCCGGCAGCCAGCCTCAACCGGGAACGACCATATATCGAGGCATTGACCAGGTTGGTCAATATCTCGCCCCAGGTATAGGTATTTGAAGAGTTGATTGCGCTGCCCTGCTGCCCTGTATGAACCGGCCCCGCCGCGGAGACAACCAGGACGCCCTGGAGACCATTGTTCAACTGAATCGGCTGGCTTCAGTGAATGAAACAGCCGCCCTGCGCGCCCTTGCTCTGCCCCTTTTGAATGGTCCGCAGTCTCCGAATCCCCGGTTTCTGGATACTCTGGCAGCGCTGGGGGAGAGCAATCCAGCCCTCCTGGATGCCATGATGTCACACACCGAGCCCTTGCCAGCCTGCTAATGGACGACCCTCAGACCTGCGGGCAACTGCTTGCCCACCCCTTGGTCGCGCTCCCCAGGCATTCGCGTGTCCTGGTCGTACGGAATCTGCAGGATGCTGGGATCCACCAGGTAGCCCGGGACCTGCTGAGGGTCGCCGCCGGCACCGTCTTCGTCGATTTCGGTGAAGGTCAACGGGTGCTTGACCTCGATGATATAGTTCTGGCCGGCGACGGCAGTAAAGCTGTGTAGTTGGGTGTAGTTGGACCCTGCCGTCCCCATCCGTCAGCGCTCCGGACTGTATTCCGCTCAGGCCAGCGGTTAACGGTGTGGCCGTATCTGAGGAGCCGCCACCGTAATCCACGATGGCAATTCTTGCCTGGCCCATTATGGCCTGCCTGTCCGCGCCCAGGGTGGCGGAAACAATTATCCAGTCGCAGGGTTCGGAAACCGGATCGTTGATGGCAGTAGTTGACGGCAGTAACAGTGAACGTTACCGACGTATTCCCGCCGCCGCTTCGCTCTTGGTTGCTGCGAAACGCACACTGGCGGCGTTAACGGTGGTTTCATACCGTGTCGTCTCCGGGTTGAAGGCGGGGCTCAGCGAAATGTCGCTGCCGTCGCGGTGAGGGTCAACGAACTAGGGTCAACGAACTCAGGGTGGCATCCTCTGTTGGTGGTACCTGCGTCGCCACGGAGGGCAGCCGTAAGGCTGCCCGGAAGTAGATCGCGTCTTCAGCTCATTATCAGCCTTTGTCCGGTCATCGCGGGTGACCGGGGCCAGGAGCCCGGCAAGGGAAAAGGACTCTGCATGTCGGCCCGACGCCAGGCTGGTATATGAGGACAGGCCGGTATATGAGGACAGGGATGTGATTTCCGGCTGCGAAGTGGCGTTGTGCTCGGCTGCCCCGTAGTCCACATAAGGAGAATTCAGGGACAGCAGGTGGGCATTCGGGTCGGTCGGTCTGTATCCGTCGATGTAAGCTCAGGCGGATCCAACATTGAAAATATGGATAATTACAATCAATAGACCTGCCATTAGGAAAGCCAACCCATTTGTAATGGCTGCGATCTTCTCGTTGGAGTCTTGCGGCCCCATTCTCTCTTCCTCTCCTCTCCTTTCCTTTCCGCTGCCAGAAGTCCGCTGCTGGAAGTTCAATCGGTTGTGAAGGGCGGTTGATGTCCAGTAATAACCGGCAACTGCAGCAGATAATTGATATCTATAATAGAGTCTGTATATTCAGAAAACTGGATTATGCCAGGCTCTGCAATAGCTTTCCATTTATGTAAAGGCGCTTAAGAGGCAAATAAGGGGTGCGGCAGTCAACGCCGGCCTGTGACATGAACTGTTGCATAGGCCCCCCCGGTTCCCTCAGGTTAAATGAGTGGGCAATAACGCTAGTCCGACAGTCCGCTGCCGCGTTATATCGTTATTGGGCGGAGTCAATTACATGGAGAACTCACATTGGCGAATACCGTGAAATAATGGCCCCTTATGTGGCAGTAAAGCTGATTGTTGGAGAGGGATGAGGTGTAGTACGGTTAAAATTGACCTCGTGTTGACAAGCAATGCATTGCAAGGTTATATATCCTCATATCCCCTAAGCGCAAACGTGATCTTTTCGCGGAATGGCCATCCCCCCAAAAGGAGGTCGACCCATGACAACCCCCCTGGACGACATGGTCGAATTTGCGGATAACCCGGAACCTCGTTGTGCCTGCCTTCTCTTGCTGGATGTGTCCGGTTCCATGACCGGAGACCCGGTCAGGCAGCTAAACGACGGGCTGGCATATTTTAAAGAGTGCATTGAAGGCGACAGCCTGGCTTCCCTCCGGACCGAGGTCGGAGTGGTCTCCTTCAACCAATTCCCTACGGTGGTGCATGATTTTTCCACGGTGGACGGCTTCGTTCCCCCAGCCCTCAAGGCCGAGGGAGGGACCAAAATATCCAGCGCTATCAATGTGGGCCTGGACATGGTGGAGGACCGCAAGGCCACCTACCGGGCAAACGGAATTACCTATTACCGTCCGTGGGTCTGGCTGATCTGCGACGGACGTCCCGAACACGATGACCCCCAGGAGTGGGAGCTGGCGAAAGCCCGGGTGAAGCAGGCCGAAGATGACAACCAGGTGGCCTTCTTCGTGGTGGGCGTGGAAAACGCGGACATGGGCGAGCTGGACTCCATAGGGAACAGGCAGGCCCTGAAGCTGAAGGGCCTGGACTTCAACAGCATGTTCCAGTGGCTCTCGTCCTCCATGTCCTCGGTGTCCCAGTCCCAGCCCAGTGATACGGTCCCCCTGAGCAACCCGGCAGGTTGGGCAGAGGTCTAATGAGCGACCACCGCCGGCTGGTGGCCTACAGTGCGTCGGTAGCTGGCACCAGCCACGTGCGAAGGGGCATTGGACGGCAGGACCAGGCATGCCACCGGGCGGAGAAAGACTTCCTGATTGCTGCGGTGGCGGACGGTGCCGGATCGGCCCGCGAGTCGGCCTTTGGAGCACTGGTGGCCACCAGACGGGTAACCAGCGCTGCCACCTGGCGCCTGCTGCAGGCCGGGGCTGCGCCGGATGCGTACGAGCTGTCGGATATATTGAGGGTAGCCGTCCTGGACGCGAAAGCAAGCCTGGAGCAGGTCGCCCGGGAAAGCGGCGAGGGGCTGGGTACCTATGCCTGTACGCTGCTGCTGACCATCCAGACATGGGACCTGGTAGGGGCTGCCCAGATAGGGGACGGTGGCATAGTGGTCTCCAATGGCGAGGGGGGCTTCGACAGCTTTACTATGCCGCAACGGGGCGAATACGCCAACCAGACCACCTTTCTCACCTCCTCCAGCGGGCTTGAACAGATGGAGGTCAGAGTCGAAGAGGCGCAACCCAACTACCTGGCCATGTTCAGCGATGGCATCCAGAACCTGGTTGTCGAGCACGCCACCCAGAAGCCGTTCCAGCCCTTCTTCAGGAACATCTTCCATTGGCTGGAAAACCAGACAGACCGGGAGGGCGTGGAAGGGGAGCTGACGAACCTGCTCTGCTCACCCAAGGTAACGTCCAAGTCCGACGACGACCTCACCCTGTTGCTGGCTATTCGCAGATGAACGACGAGAGTTATGCCTGACATATTTCGTACAACCAGCGGCAGCGACGTTGCCATTGGCAGAAGACTGGGCGGAGGGGGCGAAGGCGCCGTCTTCGAGGTCAATGCCGACACAGTTGCCAAGATATACAAGGCCCCCGTGGACCGGTCCACACCCCGAGGGTTGAGCACCGAGCGGAAACTTGCTGCAATGGTAGCGAATGCGCCCCCCACCAAGGATTCCGACGGCAACGTTGCGCTGGCCTGGCCCCTGGAGCTTCTTTACTATCGCGTTGGACCCGCGGCCGGAATGATGGCGGGCTTCACGATGCCCAGGATAGACGTGGCGCAGTACGCCCAGATTCTCAACTACTGGAACCCCCAGCGGATCAGGCAAAATCCCAACATCCCCAATCAGGGTGAACGGCTTGAAGAGCTGCTCCAGGTCATAGTCAGGAATATCCTCACCATAGTGAACGGTATTCACAAGCGGGGCTACATTATAGGTGACATCAACGAGAGCAATACCGTGGTCCACCAGTCGGGCCGTGTGGCTTTCCTGGATTCAGATTCCTTCCAGGTGCGTGACCTCAACGGCAGAGTCCACCGGTGCGGAGTGGGTAAGCCGGACTACCTGGACCCTCGTGTCATTGGCCTGATGCGGCGAAGGTGCGCCGACCCCAACTGTCTCTCCGGCAGAGTTGCTGGGCACAGGCAGAGCTTCGCGTGCTTTGACCGATGCGTGGACGACGATAACTTTGCGTTGGCGGTGGTCTTGTTCAAGCTGTTGATGAAGGGTACGCACCCCTTTGACGGGCCGGACGGCGAGATGATGGACAAGATAGCCGCGCGCCAGTTTCCCTACAACAATCCAAGGTTGATGACTCCCGCCAGGACGAGAGCACGTTGGCAGGAACTGTCCGATGAATGGCAGAGGTATTTTGTAGATACGTTTACCACCGGCAAGAGGTATTCGGCGGAACAACTGCTTACCTTCGGCCACCCCCTGCGGCGCATGGAAAACCTGGGCCATCAGGTAACGGTAAGCTGGAATACGCCTGGTACCTCGGCTGCGACGAATCCGTCTCCCCCGACCTCCGCACCTGGGTCACAGGCCGCGGGGACGGCTGCGGGTGCCCCGCAGATCAAGTGCCCCAAGTGCGGCCGGTCCAACGCCAGCCCCGGAATCTTCTGCCGCTACGATGGGTGCAACGCCTGGCTTGCCAACAAGGGAAGGAATTGTGGGGCCTGCCAGGTAGAAATTCCCGTCAATTCCATTTACTGTGAGCGTTGCGGCAAGGAACAGCATCCCGGGGTGGACAGGCGCAGAGTCCTGAGGATGAGATAAGCTTCCCACGTTTGGGCAAAAGCTGGGCAGCCGCATTTCCCTGCATACGGAAGACAGGCGGTTGCGACGCCGGTCAGCAGTTGAGACGCCGGACAAAGGACATGCGGTCAGGTTACAGACGATGCCTTGGCTGTCTTCGGAGCCCTTCAAAGTGACGGCCTAATTGCATGTACTGCTCCGCCTGCCGCGAAGTTATTCCCAACAGTTCGCTGTGGTGTGCGTATTGCCGTCATCGGGTTTATCCCTTCCAGGTACCTGCCCGCTGGGCCGGAGTCCTGGGGGTTGTGCGGCAGAGGAAGTACTGGTTGCCTGGAGCGGCGGCGCTGGTGCTGGGATACGCCCTGCTGTGGTTCACCTGCTCCTTAGCCGTCGATAGCCTGAGTTCACTGACCCAGCCCAGCCAGGCGGCGGCCCCGGCGGCCCCGTTGGCGCCCACGTCAACACCTCTCGCCCTCCCTAACGCACCGGCCGTGGCGGAGGCCAGCGGGGGAACCGGGTTGCTTCCCTCGGTGGCAGACATTTACGCCGCGGTCAGCCCGGGCGTGGTGTTGGTCAACACCCCCACCGGCACCGGGTCTGGTTTTGTGATTGACAGCCGGGGCCTGGTTATTACCAACGCCCATGTGGTCGGCGACCAGGAGCGGGTAACGGTGGACCTGGCGGACGGAAACCGGTACGTGGCCCTCATTGACGATCTGGACAACGACCTGGACGTGGCACGGCTGGAGGTTGTGGACGGGCCACCGCTGACGGCCCTGGCGATCGGCAACTCGGAACAGGCGCGGCTGGGGGAAGACGTTTACGCTATAGGGTATCCGCTTTCGGGCATTTTAAGTGAAAATCCCACCATCACCCGGGGAATTCTATCCGGCAAGGGGGAGGGTTACCTGCAAATAGACGCGGCCCTCAACCCGGGCAACAGCGGCGGGCCCCTGCTCAACGCCCGGGGCTGTGTGGTGGGCATCAATACGCAGGTGGTGCGGCAGGCGGGGGGCATAAACATTGAGGGAGTGGGGTTGGCCATACCAATAAACCAGGTGTCCTACCTGTCGCCAAATGATGGGGAGAGTTGTGTAATGCCGGTGGGAGAGGCGCTGGCGTTAGTACCGACGGGTACTCCGGCGCCGACGGATACTCCCACGCCAGTTCCCACGGACACGCCTGCCCCGACTCTCACACCGACGCCCGTTCCCACGGCAACCCCTACCCCGACTCCGGTACCAACGGCAACTCCCACCCCCACGCCGACTGTTACCCCTACTCCCACGCCGACAGCCACGCCGTTGCCAACGGCAACTCCCACCCCTACGTCGACCCCGACGCCCACACCCACACCCACGCCAACTCCTATGCCGACGGCCACCCCTCTGCCTACGCCGGTGCCGTGGGCCGCCAGGGACTTCTCGGCAGGAGGAATCCAGTACTCCTTCAATGTGCCGGCCGACTTCCGGTCGGGCCCCAGCGGTTACAACCTGCAGAGTCCCGATGGGGCCATTCTGGTTGATTACAAGACCCAGGGGTTCAGCGGGCAGCTTACCTCTGAGTTGATAGACAGGAACTGGGTGGCCCACGGCAGGAACGACGACGGCGCCAGAAAGTCGATGTCGACCAAGGAAGCACCATTCCTGCAACGCTGGCCCAGCGCCAGCAGCAGCGCCGTCCAGTACCTGTTTGAGCACGACGTGTGCCCCGTGGGAATGATGAGTCGGAAGGGGGCATACGCACACCATCCAATAGAGAAGGTAGGCTTCATCCTTAGAGTTGACATATGCGACTACCGGCGGGAGCATCGCAGTCCCATATGGAGTCAGCAACGAAGAGGTACGGAACAAGATCCTGAGCAGCGCGGGGCGAGCGAAATAGGTATGAGAGAAAACATGATGCGGCGCATATTTCCGTTTCGGCGAAGAGACAACTCAGCCACAGGGTCCCCGGAGGCGTCGCTGCCAGTGCTTGCCGAGCATTACCAGCTTGCGCTGAAACTGGTTAACGAGTTCCGGATGCAAGGGGACTGCCCGCTGCTGGTGTTAGGGACAAATGGGTCGGCGCAGCGGCATGCCAACGACTGCCTGTCCCTGGGACTGGCATCGCAGTGGAGCAGGGATGGCCTGAAACCCTACATGCGCTACAGCCTGGCCGGGGGTTACCAGGTCAACGTCTCATTCTCGTGGCAGAACACGGTTACCGGCTCTCGCGGGCAGACCGATTTGGCGAGGGAAATCGAGGAGAGCGTACGGTCGCTGTTCGGCACCGTGGGCCAACGGAGAATGCTCCTGGACCGGATGCTGCGACAGGTGAGCATAGGCATAGCCTGGAGCCGGAACCACTTCGTGCTTTATCTGACCTTTGAGGGGGACTGGGTTGAGTACGACCAATTGCCCACGATAAACGGGAGTCTGCTCCGGTTCTCGGGGAGGGTCAGGAACGGAGTCCGGCTGAACAGGTCGGAAGACCTGTCGGTGGACGTCTGGTATGATCCGCCACCGCAACCCTTGACCGAAGGGCAACTGCTGCGGGTGAACGCCTACGATTACGGGATGATAGCGGGCAGCCTGAGACAACCGCTGTCCGAGGGCTACGAGTGGACTGAAAACCGGAGTTCCACGATAGTTGAAAGGCTGACCCAGCCGGAGGATATACCGTCCAATGCGCCGGTGCCCCGTGACTTCAACGAGCGGCAGGAGGTAATGCAGCGGGCCTACTACGCCAACGAGACGCCAAGGCGACTGGAAGCAACTTATCCATTGATAACTTGCCGTGAGTGGAACGTGTCCCGGGACGGGTTTTCGGTTTCAGCGGATATTGGGCAGCTCGTTGGGGAGAAGGGGGCTGGAGTTTATAGTTTGTCGCTATGGGCTCCAATGGAACGGAGAGACGGACGGTTAAACATCTCAAGGTATTCCATGTTTG